TTGGAGAATGTAACAAATTATGTATAGCCCGAAAAGGTGATGGACCAGGTTTGTGCATCAGGAGTGTAATTTTAAGATATCTAAAATGAATAAACTTCAAATAGAAACAAGAAATAAGAGTTGCATTGCAAAAGGAAAAAAGATCCCAAGAATTTCTTTCTTTGTACCCATAGAGAATCTATACACATTCCCATCTTATACTGATTTTAAGTCATTCATGTAAAGCCTTTTCTGTGTTTGTTTATTCTGTTTCTAAAAGTATAGCTTATACTACATACAATTTGAATAGCAAATACCGTACCCATTTAACAGGTGGAAGTACTGAGTGATTGAAAAGTTATTTTATTTGTGTTCAGACATAGATCCAGACAGTAAAAAGGGCAAGAAAATGAGCCAATTTTCTAGATGTCAGAAGAAAAACTGATCTACAGGTTTACATTTTCCCATCGAATTCAAGTTATAAAGATTTTTCTTATGGCTATATTATAGTCTGTAATTTGTCACTCAAACACCACTGCCCTACGATTATAATAATGAAGCCTCTTTAATCATCTTATTACTAGTGTAGATCATGACACAGTTGACAAAGCACTGCTCTTACAGTTCCTTATCGACACACTGTATTCATTGGATGCTCAAAATGTTTTCAGGCTCTTTCGTTCCCATCAATATTTGCTGTTCTAAAAACCCCTTTCGGTTCCTGAATTCTTGAGTGATGCCTTCAAAAAGAAAAGAAAAGTGTCAAGTCACTGAGATAATGTCTCATTTTTCAATGTAGCTTTTGTTTGGCATCTCTTTCAGAAGTATGCATTTTACGTTCTCCTTTTCAAAGGTCACTCTCAAAGTTTAAGTCTGCAATTTTAGAGCTGGTTAGAGCTAACTTTAGCCAAGGGAAAAGAACACTTGGGAGATTGGATTGGTAGAGTGAAAAGGTTAACTCTAAAAGTTTGATTTGGAAATGTGGCCTTTGTTGTACTGTTTATGTGACCTTGATCATAAACTTTAGACTCTTTGAGGTTTAATCTGTTTATCAGAATGATAGTATTAACCAGACTGAGTGCTATGAAGGGAAGGTTGGGAACCCTACCTCTTTCGCATTTTTCTTTTAAGGCAATATGTGTTTCTTTTTTTAATTTAAGCATAATTACATAATTGCTCTTCTTTGCTCTCTCCAACCCTTGCTTTCTCTCAAATCACTGCCTCTTTTTCTTTAATCGCTATTGTCTATATAGCCATATAAGATTCCTCCCTTCAACATTAGTGTGTGTATTGGTGTTGTCCTTGTCAAGGTCTGTCTAGGCAGCCATATGGTGTGGTATCATGGGTGAAGCTCCTTGGTCATTTCTAGGAGACAGAGTGTCACAGTGGATTGTCTGGTCCTCTAGCTCTCACAGTCTTTCTGTTCCGTATTCTGTGACATTGACTGAGCCTGAGGTGCAGGAGTTGTTTTGTATATGTATCCATAGAAGCTAGACACTCTGTGCTCAGTTGTTCTCTGTATTTTGACTAGTTGTGATTTTTTTTTGTAATGGTCTTTTTCTGTAGCAAAGAGAAGTTTCTCTGATAAATACTATTTTGTATTTTAGATGTCCTGGCAATATTTTACTTGAAGAAAGGGTTCCACGGTTAAGAGATTTAAAAATCATGAAGTAGCCCATTATCCGTATTACAATTGAGGATGATGATACACAGAACAGCTGTCATTTTTTCAATTAGAAAGGATATATAACAAGTACCAGTTCTGCTTCACTCTTATAAAACCACCTATGGAAAGACTAGGAAAAAGGCATAGGGGGAGAAGAGGGAAGATAGGTGGGACTGGGAGGAGAGAAGAGAGGGGGCTGCAGAGGGGATACAAAGTGAATAAATTGTAATAAATAAATATATAAATAAAATTAAATAAAAAGATAATGTCCAAATAAGAAAATGTTGTCATCCCAGAACATGAACTGGTATGTTATTAAGGATCACCAGCTAGGCACTGTGGGACCTTTATTGCCAGCACTCAGGGAGGAAAAGGCAGGATGATTTTTTGTGAGTTAGAGGCCAGCCTGACCTACAAAGTGAGTTCAGGATATACAAGGCTACACAGAGAAACCCTGTCTTGAAAAACAAAACAAATAGGATCACCTTTGCATGTTTCCTTACTGAAAACTACATTTCATTATAAAGCATATAAATGATTAAACAGCTTAATAACCAAATCTTTCAGAAACAGTGGTTTAACCCAAATTCACCACAAGGAAGATACTTCCTATATATTCAAAATAAATGGTTTGGATGGCATGTTCTAAATAATCTTTTTCAAGAGAGAGGAAGTCATGATCTTGCTCTGTAGCCCAGACTTACAATCTTATATATATATTTTTTAATTTCAGTCACCAAAGTGTTGGGATTCAGGTGTGTGCCACTGTACTTGGCTCTAACTGAACTTTTAATTAGTCTTCTCCCAAGTAGTCATTGCATGGATCTTCTTCTTTTTTCATCAGAATTTTAGTGGAGGAAATAGTCTATTGGTCCAATTCAGATCATCTTCTCTGAGTCTGTTCACATCATTTCAAGCCTCATGCATCCTAAGCGGGTACTAAGGCACATCCCTAGGAAATAGCATTATTTTACATCCTCCTAAGAAATAAAGAATAATAAATTATTCTAATTAAGATTATAAGAGCTGACCTGGAGAAATGATACCTTCCTGAAATTCCAGTTGTTGGGGAAGCTGACACAGAAGGATCACTTGAGAATAGGAGTTTGACGCCAGCCTGGGAGACATAGTAAGATCATGATCTCATGAGATTCATGAAATATTGCTTCATATTTGCCAGAACATAAGATCTATCTTTCCCTCTATTTTCTGTGTCTCCCATGATACATGCTGTTGGAAAATACTTCTTGGTATCAAAATGATGTACCACTCTTGCTATTTGCCACAAACACTTCGAAATCTGTTTCCTATCTGTGGGATCAGTATTATTCTAGCATGAAGGAGAGTTTCCAAGTCTGCTTTCCTTGGAGGCAAAATGCAGACCTGCCATGCATGCTGTATGAACACTGACACTGGCTATTTCCTTTGTTACGGGCTAATCATTATCCTGGCAACAGTGCATATAACAGGTGGATCCAAATGGACCCTACCAAACTTCTTCATTTCATTTGGTTTGGTACCCAAATCATCCACTCTGTATCACAAGTTAACAAAATGTTTTGTTCCTTTTGCTTACAAATAATTTTCACTTGTATCAAAATGAGATTTCAACTTTTCAAGCCCCTATATCTAATTACTTACAGGTCAACATTTTATCTTCAGTGGGGAAATATGTTCTAGGTTTTAAAACTGTTTAACGCACAGTTTATTTGAGCTATGCTTTTGTTTAAAGACATTTTTTAGGTATGTATTAAACGTTTTCACCTTTTGATGTCTGTCAAAATGAGTGAAATTTAAATTTACACATCATCTTCTCAATTTCAAATTACTGTGTCAACATATTCTTATATATTTTAGTGTTAGAAGTATTTCATATTTACAAGAAGGTATTTCATGCTTGCCCCTGAAGGAGATTAGTATTTCAGCTAATTTTGACCAAATTCTGATTAAAAAAGGAACTTGATTTTATAGCACTTTTCTTTTTTTTAATTTTTATTAATTACACTTTATTCATTTTGTATCCCCCCATAAGCCCCTCCCTCCTCCCCTCCCGATCCCACCCTCCCTCCCCTTTCTGCATGCATGCCACTCCCCAAGTCCACTGATAGGGGAGGTTCTCCTCTTCTTTCTGATCTTAGTCTATCAGTTCTCATCCAAAGTGGCTGCATTGTCCTCTACTGTGGCCTGGTAAGGCTGCTCCCCCCTCAGGGGGAAGTGATCAAAGAGCAGGCCAATCAGATTATGTCAGAGGCAGTCCCTCTTCCCATTACTATGGAACCCACTTGGACACTGAACTGCCATGGGCTACACCTGTGCAGGGGTTCCAGGTCATCTCCACGAATAGTCCTTGGTTGGAGTATGAGTCTCTGGGAAGTTCCCTGTGTTCAAATTATCTTGTTCTGTTGCTCTCTTTGTGGAGTTCCCGTCCCCTCCAGCTCTTACTATTTCCCACTTCTTACATAAAATTCCATTCACTCTGCCCATCAGTTGGCCATCAGGCTCAGCATCTGCTTTGACAGTCAATACTGCAGAAGCTTTCAGAGGCCCTCTGTGGCAGGTTTCGGTAAATGGTGGGACCTGGAAAGGATCATCCTGAGTGAGTTGTCCCAGAATCAAAAAGACACGCATGGTATATACTCACTCATATAAACATACAACATAGAATAAACCCACTAAAATCTGTACATCTAAACAAACTAAGCAAAAGAGAGGACCCTAACTAAAATGTTCAATCCCCATCCTGAAAGGCAAAGAGGATGGACATCAGAAGAAAACGAAAATAGGAAACAACCTCGGAACCTGCTACAGAGGGCCTCTGAAAGCCAGAAGAAAACAGGAAGCACTTTTCTTTTCCCTTACTGTCACTCACATGCGCTTGGTGTGAAGAAGAGAAAAGATTTTACTGGAAGGGGGTGGCAACTTAGGAAATGGAAAAGCACCCTCATCATTGTCCATATCAAGGAAACTGACAGAGAACTAAGTGTGGAATGGCTTCTGTAGATGCTCTTTCCTCCTTTCTTATCATTATGTGTTCCTTCCTTGTCACTGAAAGGGGAAAATGATGTGCACTATAGGGGGTCAACAGCCAGAACAAACTGTCTTCAAAAATTCTTCCATCCGATAAGGAATTGTAAAATGACTTCGCAGACCTAAGGATGAATACCAGGATTGTATAATAAGTGGAAGTGAAATTTTCTTTTGCATATTTTGTGCTATTGTTACAGCAATTTTCCTTAGATAAAAAGGTTTGAAGATGTACTTTTCAGAAGCATTTTCCTCACTGTGATTGCTGTCTTCAAATGTCACGCAGTTTCTTCCTATTCTTAAGCTAAATTTCTCTTGTTTTCTCTTTCAGGCCAATATCAATATTCCGATGGGAGCCCTTCGTCCAGGAGCTGGGCAGCCTCCCAGAAGGAAAGAGAGTACTCCTGAAAAGGAGGAGGTGAGGAAGATAGCTCATAGAGACCAGCAGGGCCTGTTTCCTCCAGAGTCCTCCAGAGGCAAGGTTTCTCAGTTAGCAGGGAAATTCTGTGCTTCCTTTCTATGCCCAGCCAGTGTTAAGTATTTGGCAGAGTTGTCACCCATGCTCTATGATGAAACTCATCAGGCAGGCTGTGTGCGCTAGGGCTTCTGGTGGAAGATTAACATCAGTTAGAGCTCAGTAAGTAAGCGCATTACATTACTTTCAGATTCAAACGATCATCTTGATCTTCCTTTGAGAAGAGGGTTTTCCAATGGAGTCGATCTAGTCTCCCTCCCTGCATTTTTCTCTTTAATCTTTATTTCCTGCCCAATTCAAATATCTTGTTAAAATAGAGACGAAACTAATAATTGCAACAAACAGGAACAAGTGTCCTCCTCAGGTGTTTATGTATTTACTTGCATGTGAATTTGCTGCTAAAGTCTGAAGACTGATTCTGAGAAGGATGGGATGAAGATTTTAGATCACTTCATTAACACAAAATTAGACATTTTAAAAGGAAATGATTTTTATGGCTTTTATATTTGGCCCACTACTTCAAAGTTTCCTAAGATGATGTTGGTCCTGGATCTAACCTTTCATCTCTGCAGTTTCCTTGTCATGATCTTAGGTCCTTGGCTTTAGCCCCCAATCAATATATGTATATTGAGAGGAGGAAGTGGAGTATTTGGGTAGTATCACCAAATTTTTGGAATTTCAGTTACTAAGTTACATTTGAGCAGTACAACTTTTGAACATCCAAATAGAAGAGATCTGGCCCTTCCCTGTCTTTTGGTTATATTATTATTATTATTATTATTATTATTATTATTATTATTATTATTA